GTGTGTCTGTGTATATGTGTGTATCTGTGTGTTTGTGTGCATGTGTGTACATGTGTGTATCTGTATGTTTGTGTGCGTGTGTGTTTTGCTGGAGGTTAAACCCTGGGCCTGTCAATCCTAGAGAAAAGCTTTACCTCTGAGCAACTGAGCACTCCTGTTGAAGTTTTTAAATAATGAATTTCTAGTAAAAACATATGGAAAGAAAATGGTCCAACATATCTGGCCCAAAAAAGAATTTTAAAGTTTTTATTAGATATGTTTATTTTTATTTTATCTGTGAGTGTTTTGCCTACATGTATGTATGTGTCTCCCTAGTCCCCCACCCACAAGATTTAAAAAAAAAAAACCTGTTTCTGGGCTGGTGAGGCATCTCCAAGGGTAAAGGCTCCTGCTCCTTTAGCCTGGTGACTGAGCCTGATTCCAGGTGGGAGAACAGAACTGATCCACTGAGCTGTCCTCTGACCAACCTACATATATGTGGCCCTCTCCCGTGGCTATACTAACAAATTAAACATTTCCTAGCTCTTCTTACACTTTTAAAAAGATTTTCTAAAATTTATTTATGTGTATGTTTCTGTGTCTATGAATGTATGCTGTGTGTGTGTGTGTGTGTGTGTGTGTGTGTGTGTGTGTGTGTAAACCAAAAGAGGATGTTGGATCCCCTAGAACTAGAATTATAGGCCACTTTGAGCTGCGTGGTGTGGACGCTGGGAACCAAACTTGCGTCATCAGAAAGAGCAGGAAACTCTGCTAACTACTCTCCAGCTCCTCTTACATCTTCATGGGTTTTCCATTTTAAAAAATAATCCCACGGGTGTTTTTTGTATATTTGTTTGAATTTCCTTAATTCAGGAAGAATTGGTATCTGAGTCATTAAATCTGTCAAGAATTATTCTGCCTTTGATTGTCTATTATGTTCTTCATTAACACTTTTTAATATATGTACTATTTTTTAAAAATATATCTGGAGTTGAAATGTCTCGTGAGCTTTTCTCCCAAGGCTCCTGCATGCCAGCCGGTGCTCTGCTGCCGAGCTGGGCCCCCGGCCCTGGAGTGTGTGATAAGTGATGGAGAGGGAAGCTGTACTCAGGATGATGTATTCTATCATTAAGTAATAGATAGAATAGGTATAGTATGTTCCTCAAAATACAGTATTGGTGTAAGAAATTCTGAAGCTGTTCATACATAGACTTAAATGTTCACGATAAGGTCCCCCCCTCCACCCCGCCCCAATAAAGTAGGTAAAGTAGGTTAGCATTGGTGTCCTTCGTAAGTGACACCACTGTTTAGGTATGTGCTGTGCTCCTAATTACAGGACACTTGTCTCCCACGGAGACCGACGGTGACATGCTGGGGTATGATTTGTACAGCAGCGCCCTGGCAGATATCCTCAGTGAGCCCACCATGCAGCCCCCCATCTGTGTGGGCCTGTACGCACAGTGGGGAAGTGGGAAGTCTTTCCTACTCAAGAAACTAGAAGGTATGGAAACGCTTTGATGACGTCCTCACAGACAGCCTTTTCTGTGCAGTGAAAGCTCTGAGGGCGGTTGCCCTGTCCCAGCGTCTGCTGGGTGGTTGGCATTTCACTGCCTCCAGTCCGACCTCCCGTGGGTTTTCTTCTAGAACAGGTCCAGTGTGGCCAGCATCCAGCACACCCCTTGGAAGTGCTGGGGAGGGAAGGGGGTTCTTCACACACTTTGCAGGCCTTCCATGAGCTCTGCGTGCAGTCAGGACCGAGTGCCCTTGCTAATCACCCAGGCCTTTCCCTCCGTTAGATGCCTCATCCCTAGTCCTAACAGATGGCCCTTTGGCTCTTCAAGGACAGGCTTCAGTGTGTAATGACCGTGACCTCAGATTCTGTAGAAGGAAGGACTGTGGTTCTTGTGGTACTTTGTGTACTTTGGAGAACTGCAGTGGGAGGTTGAGGGTCGGAGAGGAATGGAGGGCTGTGCAGTTGGAGATGGACCTGGTTCTGGTTCTGCATATGGGAACAATATCTTGTTTAGTACAAGCCATAGAAACCAGTATCAGTAAAGCCTTGACAGATGAGAACAGTGGACATAAGAGTTGGATGATCTTCAGGACTGTGGGAAGGAAGGGCGGGTATGCACCAGGGGACAGGTCGATGAAGAGAAAACTTTGGTTTAAGTGCGAAAGCATCAGCAGTGTTATCTAGGGCAGTTAAGGGTCCAGTACACATTTATATTCCAACAGGAAAGTTAAAGACTGAGTTAAAAGTTATGTCTGAGCAAAACAAATAAAACTTCCCATTACTTTTCCTTTCAGATGAAATGAAGACTTTTGCAGGACAGCAGATCGAGCCCCTTTTCCAGTTCTCATGGCTCATAGTGTTCCTCACCCTGCTGCTGTGTGGGGGGCTGGGCCTAGTGTTTGCTTTTACCGTTGACACAAATCTGGCCATAGCAGTGTCGTTGAGTTTCCTGGCTCTCTTGTATATATTCTTCAGTAAGTCTTTGATTTTCTACCATCTTTTCTTTTCAATCTTTCAGTGTTACTTTCTGTAACATTGAGCACGTTACTTAAAACATCTGATATTTGAAACTCTACTTGATTTTCATAATTGGCTGAAAAACATTGATCTCTTTGCTACTTTGTAAGTTGGTTTAGAATACCCATGTTCAAATCTAGCTGGAGGAGCTTTAAGAACCGGTACATCTCCTTGCTAGTGCCACAGCAGGCCTGACGAACTGGCACACTGTCGGGTACGGCGGTGGTGACACGCAGGAGACCTTGCAGAAGAGATGGTGCCGTGACCGGTGCTGGCCGGCATCTGGACGTTTTGACCATTACTGTGATTTTTAGTTTTTCTGAAATCAAGCTAGGAAGGCAAAACAGACTCTCTGTTTCATGACACATGCCTTTAATCTCACTGAGGCAGGTGGATCTCTATGAGTTGGAGGTCAGCCTGGTCTACAGAGCAAGTTCCAGGACAGCCAGAGCTCCACAGAGAAACCCTGTCTCAAAAAAAAAAAAAAAAAGGGGAACGAAAATTGCTGCCGAAGGAAGGGGGAACTAAAAAAGTGCAAAACGGAAAAAAGTGGCCCCCTTGCAACCGAACCAACCACCTGACGCTGAGGCTTGGCTTTCGCTCACGATTCATAGACTCACACACCTCTGAGGCTGAGAAGGGTAGTGGAGGGCTTCTTGGGGGAGATTTAAGAACAGTGTGGACAGTCACAGTTCCATAGTGTTAGCGCCCCTCTACTTAGAGTTGACCGAGAAAGCAAGCGTCCTGACTCATTCACACGTGGATTTCAGTTGTCATCTACTTTGGTGGACGGCGGGAAGGAGAGAGTTGGAACTGGGCCTGGGCCCTCAGTACCAGACTGGCAAGACACATTGGCTATCTGGAGCTCCTCTTCAGACTGATGTTTGTGAACCCACCTGAGCTGCCAGAGCAAACTACAAAGGCTTTGCCCGTGAGGTGAGTCGGTCCCTTTGACAGGAGGAACCTTTAGTAAGGATGAATTTTATAAGGCACCATATTCCAAAAAATATTGGTACCTTCGTCTTTTTGATGAAAACAAAACAAAACAAAAGCTTGCCTCAGTCCCTTTGAGAAACACTTCATACTCTATCCCCTTCCCGTAGATGAGGTCACTTTCCCACAAGAAACGGTGTATTTTTACAGTGTTGCATTTGTACAGAAACCTCTCCCTCTTTTTTGATACCTGCTGCATACTCAGGGCTTTCCTGGGAGCGGTGCCAGAGTTTAAACCCAGGCTTTCCCTGAGTAGCGAGCGCTCCATGGTGGAACACACCTCCACTACCATCCTGCTGCCGCCTCGGAAGGGTGTTGGCTTCGGGGTGGAGTTCCGGCAGGAACAGGTCTGGACAAGGCCTGGCTTCTCCTTGAAGGAGCAGAGCGGGCACCCCTGGGAACCCTGCTCTCATCGAGCTGCTCTTTGGTCATCTCTGCAAGTGGACGCACATGTCTCAAGTTAGTGAGCATCTCAAGCAGGGAATGTGAAAAACTCGGGGAAGGTAAAGGACTCTTAGGGAGTACAGAAAGGTGTAAAGTTCTAGATAAACGTTTGTTGCTTTTTTTTTTTTTTTTGGTTTTTCGAGACAGGGTTTCTTTGTGTCATTTTAGTGCCTGTCCTGGATCTCACTCTGTAGACCAGACTGGCCTTGAACTCAGAGATCTGCCTGGCTGTACCTCCCGAGTGCTGGGATTAAAAAGCGTGTGCCACCACTGCCCAGCCAAAGTTTGTTTCTTAAGCTAGAAAATTAGGAGCAAAAAAGCTCCCATGGGGGTTAGCAAAAAGAATTAAAAATCTGTTAAAAGGTTAAGAAGTTTTAAATTATAATAAGATAAAATCTGCATGATTTCAGATGAATGCAAGTCATTCTAACCATCAAAACTATGCTAGGAATATGGGTGAGAAAAATAAAGATTAACAGATTACAAGAACAGCCAGCCTTCTTTATCCCTGGGTTCTGCATCTCTTGATGCAGCTAACTGTGGATTACAAATCGTTTTAAAAATTGCCCCTGTATGAAAATGTGCAGATTTCTCCTTGATATCACCAGACAGTGCAGCATAACAGCCATCACATAGCACCTTCATTGGATTAGACACTACACGTAATCCAGAGACGGTCTGAAGCAGACTGAAGTGTGCATTTTGTGTGAGAGACTTGGGCTGATTCTAGACCCAGCTAGCTATGAATACCGAGAGACTGTTGTAGTTAGCGTGTAAATTCAAGTATTACGAAGATGTAAAATTGAGAGGTCTGTAAGTATTTGAGGTTGGAGAGATGGCTCAGGGGTTAAGAGTGCTGTTGCTCTTACAGAGGACCTGAGTTTGGTTCCCAGCACCCACAACAGAGGCTCAGTCACCCCTAACTCCAGCTCCAGGAGATCTGAAACCTTCTTCTGGTCTCCACAGGGATCCATACACGTGTGTCCATAAACACATGCACACACACACACATGCACACACATACACTAAAAATGAAGTACATAACTTTTTAAAGGAGGAGAAGTTTAAAGGCAAGTATATGATATAGAGTAACACAATTGGAGGAAATGTTTGCATAAAATTAATAAGTTTAAATGAATAAGATGATAGTTTTGAAGAGGTCAGAATGACTGAAATAGTGTCAGTTAAGGCCACATAATATAGTACAGTGTCATTCCAGACTGTAATTTTGAAACATGTTTTATCTACTGGGTTGAGGTGAGAATTTAATTTAGAGATGGAAGGAAAGAATGAATTAATACATAAATAAATATTTCAGAGACTAAAGATGTTAGTAAGCCAACTGTTTTGAAGAACAGCTCTGAAAACGATATTTTACAATTATTTATAAATCCTTGGTATATGTTAATGCTATAAATAAAGTATTAGAAAAGTTTATTTAACTTTAATATTTTTTAGGATTCATTGGTTTTTATTTTATGTGTATGGGTGCTTTGCCTCATGTATGTCTGTGCATGTGGTGCCTGTGGAATTTAGAAGAGGGAGTCAGATCTCCTGGGACTGGAGTTACAGGTGGTTAGGAGCTGCCCTGTGGGTGCTTTGAACTGAACCTCTCAGAGAACGGCAAGCGCTCTTAAGCACTGGGTCTCCAGCGGGCTGGAGCTCCTGTCGGTAGTGAAGGCTGCCCCTTGCTCCAGTCTCGGGCCTGTTTAGAGCACTTTCTCTTTTGCCTCCTTTCTGACAGGAGGTGAAGCTCTGCCATCACCTCCCTGCCCCTGGGCCATTCACACACACTCAACACATCAGCCTCTGTCTCTGCTCAGAGTAGAAGATGAGTGATCACAGTTCTGCTCCACTCCCTCAGAACTCGAAAAGCAGTGTTTTGAAAAGACGTCAAGAAAATATGGACTAAATGGGGGCTGGAGAGATGGCTCAGTGGTTAAGAATACTGGCTGCTCATCCAGAGGACCTGGGTTTGAGTCCCAGCACCCACCCAGAATCATCTGTAGGTCCAGTTCTAAGGGATCCGACTTCCTCTTCTGGCTTCCATGGGCACCAGGCACACATGTGGTACATAGACATACATGCAGGCAAAGCACTCAAACACATAAAATTCAAATAATTTTTAAAAGAGGAAACAGGTACTGTCTTTTTAAAAAGGAAAAAGAAAATGTAGAATAAATGATAGAGATGGCATACATGTGTTAGAAGTTTCTGCATCAGATAGTTGAGTAACTTCCTGCTTGATCTCCCCCCAAAGGTTTCTGTTTACAGATTACAACAGACTCTCCAGTGTAGGTGGAGAGACTTCCTTGGCTGAAATGATCGCGACCCTCTCGGATGCTTGTGAGAGAGAGTTTGGCTTTTTGGCTACCAGGCTTTTTCGAGTATTCAAGACTGAAGATACTCAGGGTAGGACTCCTTTCCTCCCTCCCTCCCTCCCTTCCTTCCTGCTGTGTTTCTAGGGTGAGGAAGGGAATAAATGCTGGTTTATCTTCACGAGATCATGCATTGAACCTCCTGACCATAAATATTACGGTATCTTGGGTACATGATATGGTAATAATCGTCAATACTGTTCATTCTATTACAGGTAAAAAGAAATGGAAAAAAACATGCTGTCTCCCATCTTTTATCATCTTTCTTTTCATCGTGGGCTGCATTATTGCTGGAATTACTCTTCTGGCTATATTCAGGATTGACCCCAAGCATCTGACAGTGAACGCTGTCCTCATAGCCATCGCCTCTGTGGTGGGGTTGGCCTTTGTGCTGAACTGCCGCACATGGTGGCAAGTGCTGGACTCTCTCCTGAACTCACAGCGAAAACGCCTCCACAGTGCCGCCTCCAGACTGCATAAACTGAAGAGCGAGGGGTTCATGAAGGTGAGCGCTCACCAGTAGGAAACTAGTGGAATGCACTGCCCTTCTCCTGCTCACTGGGCATGCCCTTCTTCTTTGTTCCGTGGTAGGGACTGAACCTGGGACCTTGTGGATGCTAGACAAGCATCCTACCACTAAGCTCCATGCCCAGGTCTGTTGCGTTTAGTTGAGTTTAATGAGTTTGTTAGGTTTATAGGAACATGTAGATATCCCCCGTCTATCTGGTGCTGCTCCTCCTCATGCCCAGCCTCGGTGACAACAGAGTGCTCCAGGTGCTCCAGATGGAGCACCTGTGTTGGTCAGTCGTCATCAGTCTGGGTGCCGTACATTCTTTGGGTTTGCATAATCCTTTGATAATATACCCACGGTTACAGTATTTTTACCGCCTTGAAGGCCCTGGCTCACCTGTTCAACCCTCTGTCTCTCTCTCCCAACCCCGTCAAATGCAGATTAGTTTACCGGGTCAGCAGCTCCGTCTTTTCTAGGGTGTCATGTCGTTGAAGAAGCCATGCAGTATGTAGCTCTTTCATATTGGCTTCTTTGACCTAATAATAGACCTTCATGTTCCCTTCCATAGCTTAAAATGTCATTGCTTTCTAGGCCTGGATACTAGTGTTGCCTGGATGAAGAGTGTATATTTATTCAGTTACCTACTGAAATACATCTTTGTTGATTTAATTTTTAGCAGTTATTAATAAAGTTGCTATAAATACCTGTGTTTAGGTTTTTGTGTAGATGAAGTTTTTAGCTCTTTTAAGTAAACACCAAGGATTATAATTCTTGGACTTTATGGTATGAGCATATTTAGCTTTGTTAAAAACTAGATGTCACCAAAGAGCCAAGAGTAATGCCGCAGCCAGTAGGTCTTTGGGTGGAATTCAGGTCCAAGTCTTTTGTCATTTTAGAGTCTGTGATTTTTGGCTAGCAAGTCTCTCAACCCATTCTGTCCTTTGTAAATTCCTATTTCCTCATGACATTCTGAGAATCAGGTGTTGTCCATAAACCAAAACCCTTACTACAGTTTTTAGTGGAGCCGCCACTGGCAACAAGAACTTTGGATTTCTCCTCCTCTTGTTGGATGACCTTCTCTCGTGCTTTTAAAGAAACATGTTTCATCGTCTTGTATCTTCTGTGCTTTGTGCAGGTCCTCAAGTGTGAAGTGGAGTTGATGGCCAGGATGGCAAAAACCATTGACAGCTTCACTCAGAATCAGACAAGGCTGGTGGTCATCATCGATGGCCTGGATGCCTGTGAGCAGGACAAGGTCCTTCAGATGCTGGACACTGTACGTCTCCCTGTCTCCAAACTTATGCTGTGGTAATGTAGGATGCACACTTCACAAAATATCTCAACTGGGTTGGAAACTGTGCTGCTTATTAAGAAATACTAGTTTCTCTAATGAACCTCTCTTTTGTAAAAAGAACTGATTTTTTTTAATGCAGAAATACTGCAAAAGTAAATGTTTAATCAAGAACGTTTAAATAATCTCACCATGATGATGGTTTAGGAAAAAACAAAACCAAAGTAAACAAACAAAGCCATGTGGAGCATCTCTCAATGACAAGTGTGGCTCAGCTTTGCAGACAATCATGTTTATATTCTGAGAAGACAGAGGGAGCCCATAGATAGAATTTATAGTTTTGTGTTAAAAAGCAGAACACAGGCAATCTACGGTGTCTTACAAACAACAGCGGTAAACGGCAGAGATGGTGTGCCTGGGACCTCACATGTCTTCACAGAAAATTCCGTCTGTGTAGGCTGCAGGCAACAGAAAAGGAAACAGTATTAACTGTTCTCTTTGTTATTTTTGTCATTGATGGTTGATAACGCCAACACTGAGATTGAGCCGTTTATAAAAGTTGTTTTTATAGAGAGTACATTTTGATGAAAAATGAATGATAGTCAAAAAGTATAGCACCAAAGGACAGTATAATTTTTTTTTTTCCTGAGTCAGGGTTTCCCTGCATAACACTGACTATCCTGGAACTTGCTCTGTAGAGCAGGCTGGCCTTGAACTTAGAGATCCGCCTGCCTCTGCCTGCTGGCATTAAAGGCGCACACCACCACCACCCAGCTAAGGATAGTGCAGATTTTAAAAAGATATTATTTTGTATAATTTTAAAATTAGTGTCATGTCCATGCCTTTCTTCTACCACAGGTCCGAGTTCTGTTTTCAAAAGGCCCGTTTATCGCCATTTTTGCAAGTGATCCACATATTATTATAAAGGCCATCAACCAGAACCTGAACAGTGTGCTCCGTGATTCAAATATAAACGGACATGACTATATGCGCAATATAGTTCACTTACCCGTTTTCCTTAATAGTCGTGGGCTTAGCAGTGCAAGAAAATTTCTTGTAACTTCGGCAACAAATGGGGACATTTCATGCCCGGATGCCACGGGTAGGTATCAAATCCTAACGTACGTAGGCGTGAAGTAGTCCTGAAGGTTCTTGTAGTCTCTGTTCACCCTGAAGAGTGTGGTTGCTGTTTTACGTCTCTCTAACACCACACCAGACAGCCTTGTGCACATCCGTTGCCGTGATGGAGCGCCAGGAGCAGGACAGTTAGGGAAGGGAGCGTTCAAAGGGACCAGAGTCCAGCGCCGTCCGTGGGCAGGCGGCGGGAGGCCCGGCAGCTGGAGTAACAAGTTGAGAGTTCACGTTTTAACCTGTAAGCAGGAAACAGCAAACGCAAATGGCGTGCCTCTTGAAGTCCTCAAAGCCCACCCCCAGTGGAACATTTCCTGCAGCAAGGCCTCACTCAGCCCTAACCCCTGAGCAGCACTGTCACCTGGGGACAAGTGCTCAGGCACCCCAGGCTCTGGGGACTCTGATTTCAACCACCACATGAGGTCTCACTGCCTTCTTCCAGGGGTGCAGGAGGACGCTGACCGAAGAGTTTCACAGAACAGCCTTGGGGAGATGACAAAGCTTGGGAGCAAAACAGCTCTCAACAGAAGGGTAAGGTGCCATCTGTGCCATCTAACTTAATTATGTGATTGATTTTTTCCTTACAGTGTTGGGAGTGAACCCAAGCCTTGAGCATGCTATACCTTGATTTTGCTTTGTTAGCAGTTACTCAAGTTAAGTGAATGTGTCCTGTATCAGATTGTGTCTCTTCTGTGGACACAATGTTAAGATCTTGAAATCAGCATCAGTGCTGGGCTCCCTTCCAGCGTCAGCCGCCTCAGAGCTCCTGTACTGGGAGCAGCAAGGACCTTGAACTGGGAGGAGTCTTCTCTGCAGCCTCTTCCAGGTCAGGTGCTGACGCTGCCCGGTGACTCGTGAGATGTCAGAGCCCAGCATCTGTCCTGAGCAGGCGCCTGCCACCTCTGCCTCTTTCTCCTTAGGTTTTTCCTCCTTGCCTGGCGTTTGCCAGGTCTGTATTGTAGTCTCCACACCCACGTGTGATTCTGGGCCCTTCCCAGTCTCTGTCTCATTTGTAGAGCAGAAAACCTAGGTTTGTAAAGTGGGAAGATGCCTACCTGCAGGGAAGTGTTGCTGGTAGTGTTGCTCAGGGGAGGCCGCCGTGCCTTATGCTGGCATTGTCTCTTCTCTCCAGTTTGCTACCGTTGGGACATTGCTTGTTAGACCTTGTGTCTTTGGTTTTGTGCTCACATGCTTTACAGATATGAATTCAAAGTTAGCATGAATGACAGTGGATATAGCTCCTCAGGGGAGTATGTTTTTCAGCATTTTGACTTTCTCTCCTGGGAGTCCAGGCTCTTGGGTACCTGTGGTTGCGACCACCTGTCCTACACTTCAGGACTCAAGGATTAGCCTCTGTTGTGTCTGTTCTCTTAGGAGATGGGATTCTTATCCACTCCAGCCCACTCTGCAGAGTGCCTTTAACTCTTTAAGGAGATGTGAGGAAAGTTAGGAGTGTCTGTGCCTGGGAGAAAATTGTGTAACACTTTAAAACAGCCTAAAAGTAGAGATGCTGGATCCCTAGAACCATGCAGGAGCTTGCTTTATTGTTTTAGGGTTCCTCTAGTTTGGAGGGTTCATGGCGTTTGACCATGATTCTCTTTATGGAGTTCTGCTCACTTCCCATCTTGACATTAAACTTTTCCTAACTGTACAGCTCTCAGTGGGCATGCTCCGGTGCATTGTTTAAGCTTTCCCTAAGTGCACAGCTCTCAGTGGGCATGCATCCTATGTGTTGCTGCTACTGTACCACTCTCAGTGGACATGCTTCAATGCATTGCTTAAGCTTCCCCTAATTGTACCACTCTCAGTGGACATGCTTCAATGCATTGCTTAAGCTTTCCCTAACTGTACAGCTCTCAGTGGACATGCTCCAATGCATTGCTTTGTAACTGGAGGGTTTTCTCTCTGGGTCCCACCAAGCCCCGGCAGTCCGACAGCCCACTTGTAAAATAAACACACAGACACTTATATTATTTAAACTGTTTGGCCTAATGGCTCAGGCTTCTAGCTGTCTAGTTCTTACATCTTAAATTAATCCATTTCTATAAATCTATACCTTGCCACGTGGCTCGTGGCTTACCGGCATCTTCACATGCTGCTTGTCATGGCGGCAGCTGGCAATGTCTCCCTCCACCTTCCTGTTCTCTCCATTCTCCTCTCTGTTAGTCCCACCTATACTTCCTGCCTGGCTACTAGCCAATCAGTGTTTTATTTATTGACCAATCAGAGCAACACATTTGACATACAGACCATCCCACAGCATTGCTTAAGCTTTCCCTAACTGTACAGCTCTCAGTAGGCATGCATCCCATGTATTGCTGCCAGCTCTACTTTGTAATGGCTCTGTAGGCCTCTGCCTCAGAAGTAGCTGCATTTGGTAAGCACATAACCTTCCTTTTGGGTTCCTGTTGCGAATTCTGCTGTCACGGCTGAGTTGACTCTGCAGCCCATCTTGTTCTTATCCTAAGCATACGTCACCTCTCTTCCTGGTGGTGTTCTGTTCCAGGATACTTACCGCAGAAGGCAGATGCAGAGGACCATCACCCGGCAGATGTCCTTTGATCTCACGAAGCTGCTGGTCACTGAGGATTGGTTCAGTGACATCAGTCCTCAGACCATGAGACGATTACTCAATATTGTCTCTGTGACAGGTGATGTTTGTTTCTGTGATAGATAATAACCTTTATTTTACTTACATTTTTAGAGGTAGTAGGCATTGAACTTCGGGCCTGCACAGTGTTGGTGAACGACCTACTACCCAGTTTCCCCATCCGTCACTGCAGGAAGCGTCAAGGCTAACAGAGCACGTGACCTTGTTTGTATTAAGTGGACGTCAGGAGTAGCTGACAATCAGATATCATTTGGAATTTATTTTAAAATTTCATGATTTTAAAAGGCTTTGCTTTATATTTAGGGCAAATTTATGTTGGTTTATGTAACAGAATAATTAATATTTGTGTTGAAATTGAGATATTTTATGTACTGCTATGTTGTTTTAGTTTTTATATGATACTTTGAATAAAATATTTGTAATAAAATGGAGATTATTAGCCAGGCAGTGGTGGCACACACCTTTAGTCCCAGCACTTGGGAGGCAGAGGCAGGCAGATCTCTGAGTTTGAGGCCAGCCTGGGCTACAGAGTGAGTTCCAGGACAACCAGGGCTTTACAGAGAAAACCTATTTCAAAAAAAAAAAAAATGGAGATTATTGTTGTGACTGAATTATTTGTGTGGATGCTGCTCTTTGCTGTGTTAAGACTAATTAGCATTAGGGTAGTCTTAGACAAGCTTGCAATGTAACTTATAGAATGTGTTTCTTTTCTTGCATGGTGATGCTTAGTATCTTCTGATATTTCCTTGTGTTGACTCTGTCAACTGCAATTGCACTTTATAGTAAGTTTAGGGCTCATGACATAAACTGTATTGTAGATGAAGTCTCACCTAGTATAACATTTTTATAGTTAAATCCCTTTAAATGAGACTTCAACATCCCTGTGCTAGTCGGACAATGGAACTGTTCCTGATATTATCAATAACCCCGACATACTCATTTGACAGTATGTCCTGTTGTCCTCCTCCTGCTGGAAGTTGGTCTGGATGTTGTAGAAACGAATCAGTAAACAAGACAGCGCCTCTCTCCCTCAGTTTCTTCCTCCTCCCGGGACTTCTCCTGGCTCTGCCCCGTGCCCACCCCTGCCCTCAGCAGAGCTCCTTGATAGTTCACGCCCTTCCTCACACCACTCCCCCACTGGTCCTTTCAAACTCCTCCAGCTCCCTTCTTCTCAGGACTTCAGCAAAGTGGACGTCAAGTTCCCCGGTGGCTTCCACGTGAAGCATGCAGGGGCCAGGCCCCAGTCCTCGTCTGGGCCCCACGAGCAGCTGTGACAATGTGCTGGGCGCTGCTGCTTCTTGAAGGGCTTCCTTCCTTTGGTGTCCAGAGTGCTGGCTGCACTTCCTGGACTTTCCTCCTAACTGTTGCTGGTTAACAACAGTTAACTGTTGCTAGTTCACAACAGTTAACGGTTGCTCTTTAACATTGGGCTGCCCCGACTACAGTTCCTGGAGCTTAACTCTCTGCTTGACCAGTTGTCATAACTTAGCCTGTAAGGATTCATACTGAATCCTTAAGTTTTGGCTTAGGTGTCAGCTTTTCCGTGAGATCTTCTGCATCTCAAATGAAGTGGTCCTCTTCTTCCTCTCCCTGCATCGTCCTGCTCCACAGAAAGCTGTCCTCGAACCCTGTCACTTACTCTCCCCTGTCTGCCTGCTCTCTGGAATGGGAGACCCTCCTGCAAGGGTTTTTGTCTGATTTGCTAACTGCTATACTCGCTGCAGCATCTGGGATCGTTATGAATGAATAGGAGACGGAATGAAATTAGAGCCACGCTTTACGTTCTTCCTGTGAGAAGCGTTCTGAGCAAAAGGAACAGCAAGTCAGAGGCTGTGAGAGAGTGCAGCCGGGGTGGGGTTGGCCCAGGAGCTGGTGGGAAGGGTGCTAGAGTGGTTGCTCCTGGGAGGCCTTCTGGCTCCAAAGTCCCCAGGAAGGAAGTTAGATTCTTCACACATCTTTGGGTACTAGAAAGAGGCCCGAGTTGATATCTTTAAATAATTGATGCTAAAGCTAGGCCTGGCGGCACAGACTTAAACCTTAGCTCCTCACACGGCAGAGGCAAAGGATCTCAGGTTCATGGCCAGCCTGGGCAGCTTAGTGAATTGGATGTGGAGGTTTACGTCTATAATCCTAACACTCTGGAAGTAGAGGCAGGAGTATCTGGAAGCCAAGGCCAGCCAGGCTACATGAGGTCCTATATTTTTTTTTTTTTTTTTTTATTTTTATTTTTATTTTTTTTTATTTTTTTTTGAGGTCCTATATTTAAAAAGACAAGCACTCAACCTTGTACAGAAGTAGGTTGTCAAGCTTATTTTAGTGTTCAGCTTTTCATTTTTGCTGCCCCCGCCCCCACAAAAGACCCATTTAGTTAGATAGCCATAGTTATTTCATAGGTTTCTGTGCTGATTGGATTTACTGCCTGTTACACTGAGTGAATGCTTCTCAGGAAGGCTGTGACCATATCATCTCTTTTGTTCTGGGCTTTACCCCAGCAGCAGTGTTTATGGTGAGTCTGTGGTGTCCGTGGCTGGCAAACACTGTGACATAGCTCACTGGGACGGGAGATCCACATCCTGCCACCCATCCAGCAGAGAGACCCCACTTTCCATCAATCTCCGTGGTGAAAATTCAGAGAGTGAGGGTGTGAGGCAGGGGAGAATTGAGTGAGGAGGCATCATCTCTATGATGAAAGAGAGTCTGTCAGACAAGGAGCTGTGCGTCCAGGTATGTGCTGAACTGATGGTGCTGTAAAGTGGGGGTGTTTGCGTGAAGAACCGAGCCTCGGTTTGTTGTCCGGTCAGCTCAGGTGACGGTGGCGGTGCAGTGGAAGGAAGCCTGAGGACTGAGTTGTCACGAGGGCGCGTGCCCTGAGGGAGGATGCTGAGGTGGGCCTCTGAACACCCTACCAACAGACCTTGTGTCCAGTGGATAGATACTGGGCTTTAGATGCTCTGTACCTGGCTTGGCAGTTACTGTCTAAGTGAGAAGGGGGATCCATCAGTCATAAAGCAGAGATGCACCAGAATGTTGGGGTCCCATTGAGGGCCGTGGAGAAGTCCTTAGCAGTCATGATTCAGAGCATTAAGGGCTACCATGGTGTTCTATTTTGTTTCTTGGTTTATTTTTTGAAACAGGCTCTCACAGTGTAGCTCAGGCTCCTGTGTGTCAGGATTACTGGTGTCTGCCACCATGCCCTCTGAATCTTTAAAATCTGGATTTTTAGAAACCATAAAATACTAGATTTAGGTCTGTATTATAACCAAATGGTAAAATTTTCAAATTTTAAAAATGAGTTGCTTGTGACTATGCTAAACATTCTACATAGTATATCTACTAATTGTTGAATGTTTGTGTATTCTTTAGAGGGCGGTTACTGAGAGACAATCGGATCACTGAGTATGTCTACTAATTGTTAAGTGTTTACATATCCTTTAAAGGGCGGTTACTGAGAGCCAATCAGATCACCTTCAACTGGGACAGGCTAGCCAGCTGGATCAACCTTACCGAGCAGTGGCCTTACCGGACGTCGTGGCTCATACTGTATCTGGAAGAGACTGAAGGTATCCCCGATCAGATGACCTTAAAGACCATCTATGAGAGGTATTTGTTTGACTTCTTTGCCCTTGAGTTCACCTTGAGTTGAGTTTTAAAACCCACAGACACTGTGTGCGAATTCTGTACTTCTGGGTCCCCTGCTGGCCTGGAGCTGCAGGGCACAGCCGCTGGCCTGTGAGCTCGGAGCTCCCTCTGTGTTTGTCGTCTTTTACAGGTGTGTACAGCTGTAAGAGTTACTGGCTTTTACTTAAAGGAGCTTCAAGGTCCAGTTGCTAGGCTAATAAAAGAATAAACTGTTCCTTAGGAAAAGATAACTTGCAGAAACTATGTAAAGTTTTATAAAATTGGGTGTAATTGAAACTACTGTTTTAAAATATAAATAAAATATTAATATAGTTCATAGCTTATAACCTTTAGGAGTTCAGATAATTTTTATTCCCTTGGAGTATTGGTAGTATATGGTTTTTTTTTTTTGTTTGCTTTTTAGTTTTTGGTTTTTCGAGACAGGGTTTCTCTGTGTAGCCCTGGCTGTCCTGAAACTCACCCTGTAGGCCAAGCTGGACTTGAACTCACATAGGGCCTTGAACTCACATAGACCCACTTGTCTCTGTTCCCCGAGTGCTGGAATTAAAGGTGTGTGCCACCACCACTTGGCGTGTTTTTTTCTAACTGGTTTTAGAGTTGTAGAGGACGATGCAGTGTCTGTCCACAGATCTGAGCTCTTCTAGGCTTGGTGGTCTAAGTTCATCAGAGATTTAAGCCTGATGTGGTTCCAGTGAGGCAGGTACACAGATGACCATGTGTTATGGTGACATGGTGGTCAGTCACCCTGGCTTGTTAAAGTCATCTTATCGTGAGGTCATGAGTGGGCTTGTCCTTACTTGTTAAATACTAACCTTTAGTTCCTGAGTAAACTTGTCTGACTTGACTCAAGAGTTAGGTCACTGTGAACGTTTGCTAGGTGAGCAGTTATTAGAGTTGAAGTGGAACCTTTAGAAGGATTTCTTGCGTGTTGTTAGCAAGGAAGATAGGTTCTGAAAGGTAAATAACTTCCCAAGTCACCCAGTCTGAGGTGGCAGAGCTGGTGTTTTAATCTGGGTCACTCTGACTCCTTATGCCGCTCCTTCTGAGCACTTGATGGTCTAACTCTTTGTATTCTCTCAGTTCTGAGGTCTACCAGTATGTCAGCCTCATTTGCATATTAGAAAACTGAGCCCAGTGGAGGTAAGTCACTTGGCAAAAGGTCAGTGCATGGTAGAGCTGGGATTCAGAGTGAGGCTCCACACCTGTGCTCTCGTGTGTGCTGGCAGATCACCTTTCCTTGTGTTTGCACAGTGTGGAAACTTTCCCAGGCTAGAGTCCTGTCAGAGACACCCTGAAGTTTATCATGGAATCAAGGAGCTAACTTTTGTTATGGAACCAAGGGTTGCAATTTTGACCTTTTTGTGTTTTCCATTTCTTTAAGAACATTTCAAATTACTGTAGTTAGTATATATGAGATTTTCTGTGTTCTCTCTTTTTAACTTCATTAATAACTAATCCACAAAAAGCAGATAATTGCTATTTTTTCTTGTAAATTGTGTTTGCCTTTATAAAAACTTGAGTTTTCTATTTCGAATAAACTATTGGTTAGCTACTGCCTCTTCCAGTCTCCCAACCCCCCCTCCTTTCTTCCCTCCCACCCTCCCTCCTTCCCTCGTCTTTAGACAGAGTATTTGTGTTAGTCTTCAGTTTTGGCTGGAATGGGGTTCAGATGCGTGTCCTCCCCTGCTGTGGCTGAGATGGCATGCAAGTGTCCTGCATCTCAGAATCGCAGACACTGTGACCAGCAGTCTAAGGAGTTTGTATAGAGTCCCCGTAACTGGTCTTCTGCACACTCCGTGACAAGGATGGGAAGAGTGAAAAAAGTCCCCAGGCAATAGAAATAGGAGACGTACATAATAAACAGAGATTAAAAAGGCGTTTGAGAAAAGGTCTCTGATTCAGGTCAGTCTAACAGTGGTTCTCAGGTCGCTGTGGCCTGCTAAGGCTGCACTGTGTTATTTGTGTCTCCTAAAACTGGGGCTCTTTATTGTCGTTGCTTTTCTTACTTTGTGGTCCTAGGCATAGCGCCCAGAGCCTTGTACGTGGTGCTCACACATTCTATTGCTGATTCACAGCAGCCCAACTTGTCTTTCTTAAGAAGCCAAGAGTAATAGGTGCTCTGGAACAGAGTCGCTTTCTTTGAGTTTCTTTTGTTCACTCCGGTTGATTTCGTCATCAGTGTCAGGCATCTGCGGCATGTACTGCTGGGCTGTGCTGCCCAGCAGGCCCGGCATTCTTGGCTATAGCTTTCCCGTTGGTAGGTGGGCCCATGGCCTTTGTGGGGATTGCTCTGCTCGCTGCTTGCAGCAGCTTTCCTCAACAGATGTTCGTGTTCCTGGGGTAGCTAACTTCTTGAGTCGCTCTTGAGTCTGTGGCTTCACCTCACGCTGTATGCATTGCTTCCTCAAGGGCTGCCTGCATTCACACCACCTCTATCACACATTGCCTGTCTTCCTAGGCTTTTTTCATGACCCTGTAACACTTGCATTCTGTGTGTCTGCAACGCCAGCATCAGATAGCTGACACCAAGATATGCAGAACACTCAAAGGCGTCCTTGTGGTGCCCCATCTCTTCAGCAGTCACTTCTCCTTGCTTAGACCCTTACCTGTGCTGCTTTTCTGAAACTAAGCTTTGCTCTCCATTCTTCCTGAAATAGGACTAAATGTAGCTAGTAACGTTGTTTCCTCCGCCAGATTACGTAGTCCATCGCTTTGAACTCAGCCTCTCCTAAAGTCTTAGGGTGTGGACAAAACAGACAGGACTTGGGCCTAGAGAGATAGCTCTTGCAGAGAACCTGGCTCCCAACACCCTCTTCTGACCTATGTGAGCACCAGGCACACACATGCTGAGCCTGCATACATGCAGGCAGAACATTCAGACACATAAGTCTAAAATCTCTTTTAATGTGGACAGGATCTTTGCTAGAGTGCAGTGTTCCTGGCCTTGTAGTCCTGTCCCCAGTACAGTCTTCTTTTGCATCTGCATCCCTATGAACAATGCTTCCTGTCCTTGTTCTCATCAGTATTCCGGTTCCTTGAGCTCCTCCGGTAATCGCCCACAAGCTCTACTTAGAGCGTCATGGAGCTTCTCCAGCCTCCATCTCCAACTTCTCCAGATAATTCTTGCAAACCAGGAATTTGGAACCATGTTTCAGGAATGCCGCAGCAGCCACCCTGCTTGTCTGGTACTCGTTTTCTGTGTTGGTCAGGCTTTCAGTGCCGTGACTATAGCTTAGGAGAGAAGGATGCATTAGTTCATGGTTTTACAGGTCTGTGGTGACGGGGAGAGCCTGAGCAAGCAGAGCCACTCTCGGGGCAGCTAAAGGCACAGGAGGAATTGCCGTGCTTTGCTTGAAATCTAAAGTTCGCCTCCCAGGCCCCACTATCTGAACCTCATAGGTAGTTCTGAAATGTTTCCATTTTTAAATTGAAATGTGTCTTATAGACAATAGCAAATGTTTAACATGTAGTTTAAAGATAATAGCAATTATTATACCCTTTAATGAAAAACAGAATATTGTGTAAGAATTATTTGGGGAGGAGGAAGTGGTTTTTTTTTTTAATCATATAATGAACATAAATTGGAGTGAATTTTTCTAGGGGAATATTTTATTTTGATCGTATCAATATAGAATAACACACATTAAAGTAAAATGAGGCTATGCCAACTTTCCTTTATGATTAAACCAACCTATTACTTTAGACCTCAGGCCTTGATGGTCCTGTCTTCTGAGAGTGGGCTGGATTTAGGGTGACTCTGAGATGCTTTTCTTTTTTAAGAAGTAGATCTGCCTATGAATCCTTACAGAGAATGTTTGTAGTTAGCCAACAAAGAGAAAAACAGTATAGAAAGCAATCTGAAAATTCATAAGCACTTTTAGTTGAAATAATGTAAGTAAAATAATTTATAATGAAAAACTGTAGTGAGACAGTTTGTTCAACGTATTGAGAACTCATCTGTTGGAACATGCTCTGACAATTTAGATGTCTGTCTAAATTCTTTGATGCCTGTCATTTGAATACTAAAAAGTTTTATTTACAGCTGACAAAAAGCAGCAGTGTATAATTGATATTCATTTATTTTATTAAAGAAATCTGATTTGGTAAAAACAATCAGAAAATAGTATTTTTAACACTAGTAGTAAAATTTATTTTTTTAATCCATAAAAAGCCTCATTTATTTTTATAGCAATCTGATGACACATCTGCTTGCTTTATTCAGCTGAAAAAGAAAATGTTGGTTCTTGGTGTTTTGTAAAATTGCTTTGTTAAATTATTGTCTAAATTGTTCAACTTTTAACAAATGACATTTGATACTAACACTGGAAAGCAATTTCAGCTAATTAAGTAGATCCCTCTATAAACCATTGGAACATTAAGATGACATACTGTTCATTCAAGATTATTTTAATTGGTACAATTATTGTAATTTTCTTGCAATTATGTGTTGAGCTAAGAGCTTTTGTCTAGATCATTTGAGGGTTTTTTTGTTAACATACATTTAGTAAGAAGAAAGAGAGTTAAATAAAAACTGTAGATAAAGATTTTTCTGTCTACGTTCTATTGCAGCATTTTAGACAGTCATTGAAATATTTTAGTATAAAAGTTTATTTCTGGTACTTTAGGCACTTAAAGCAATGATGGAAGCTTTTAAAAGGTTGATTAAAGTAGTTTTCATGAAGATAATGTTTTAAATTTCTGTTTTGACACTACTCAAGCAATCTTTTTCTCCAGAAGATATGGTCAGGAGAACTTCCTGTAAGAGGGAACATGGTTTTGGCAGTCTTGGATTTTTAAATGAATTGAATAGGTTCTGAGGGAGTTTAACAATGATGGTCATTTTCCATCCCATAGAAACAGCTGTTTGCTTAGGAACCTCAGGCATTAATATACAGTCTTTATGGATCTGTCTGATATCTCTAAGTTATTTAGTCATATTTTAGCAAATATCACATTGTTTA